ACCGTCAGATCCGTATATGTTCGAATAAATGCGTCAAGCACTAAACCACATGACAAGAGGGACAATCATAACATCATCAAAGGTCAAGGTCAATGACACTGTCTGTTCACATGCTGAGCACCTTTGGCAGCCCTAACACCTTCCCCCGGAATCCTCGAGCCTCGTATGATTTCATTCGTGGATTCACCTGGAGTGACTGCGTGAAATGTCTGTTAAGAGGAGGATATCTGATAGGTGACCATTTGGTTGCGTAACCAAACATTTGTGGTTGTGTATTCTGGTCGTGCGGTGTGTGTTGGAACATCGTCTAACCACTGGCATGTATGATCTTCGGGAATGATACCTTCGCGCCCATCTGGATTGTACTTTCTTCGTAGCTGATTTGCGTGTTTGATCCACTGTTCTACTGCTAACTACAGTTCGTACACAACTTGTGGNGCTGATTTCAAAGTCATTGCGCATTGGCTGCACTCTCTAACCAGCTCTTGAATGTCCTGATCCATAAAAGGCCAATAAACATAACTACGCATGAGGGATTTCATCTTGTTAAGCCCCAGATAGGCCTCATGGAACTGTTTCAACACGTCCATTTTCAGTGATTTTGGGATGACCATCCTCTCTCCAAAAAGAAGACAGCATTTTATGATTGACAGAGAATCGCGTCGTTTGAAAAACTCTCGAGTCGAAGGTTCGGAGACTCTCTTCGACCATCCATGCTTCCATCCATAATTCATGAAGTTCTTAACATCGTCGATAGCACTGTCAGTATTGGTGGCTTGCTTGATTATGTCTGCAGTTATTATCAAGCATGAAATAACATGTATGAGCACCTGTTGAACTTCTTTTCCAACGTCAATAAACGCGATAACCTATTCTTTATCGGGTTTTTTTCTGTGCAGCAATTAAAATGACGTCTTTGCTGCTTGAGTCATAAAATTCGTTAACAGGAACATCCCAAAGTCTCAATTTGTCAATCCACGGAATGCCAACTAATTGCGTGAGCAGTCATTGGCAACATAAGCCGTGAAGGTAAATTTCTTGCCACGAAAATTGCATACACATTTGACTATTCCAGCAATAACTATTTGTTTACCCGAAGCGTTATGGGCTTAGTTATTTGTTTGTTGGAGAGCTGGACAACCTAGGGCTTCCCATGAATGGCGTGTCAAAATAGTTGTCTGAGGCAGAGTCAAACTGAAAAATGAGCGGGACACTATTAACATCAATAGACAAAAATTTTCGTCTAGAGGAAAATTCTGTGGTGGCAGAGAGAACAATACCTGAGTTATACAATAACTTTGAATAACTGACTAAATGTCTAAGATGTGCTCCATTTTGCCGGAATGATGTCTATTTGTAATGATCACAATTTGTTTGTTTGTCCCTTTTTATCACACGCATGACAGATTCAGTTAGCATATGGACAGTATTTCACGAAATGCCAGTCACATTTCCAGCATGTTGGGGGTGGCCTATACTAGGGTTTGCATGATGCATTACAAGCTTTCGGTTTGTTCAAGGAAATTTGTAAGCGGTTCACGGTATTGTATTTTGATATCAATGCGGAGTCCATTTTTATGTTTTTCACCCGTTGACATTCGTCTGTTATGTTGCGCAGAGGAAGGTCCGGGGAATGTTCAATTTGCGACAGTATACGATTGCGTAATTCTGCATCGGCGGATAGCTGTAATCCACTGACGAATAGCAAACATTTGAACTGGCCTATTGAGAGGTCCATTAGTTTGAACCGCTCAGCCTCCAGGTTGGTTCTTCCTGCATATGTCACAAAATCTTCTGACCGTGTCTTCTTGACTTAGAGGCACCTATATCGTGTATGAAATAATGAAGCACAAGCACTGAATATTTGGGTAAGGCACTTCACTGTTTCTGAAACCTGTATATCCGTTGGTTCACGAGGTAAGATATATTTGGTATATCGTTGGTGTTCAACGGGACCAAGTTTGAGCATGAGCAGACTTACTTTGTCAATGTCTTCCCACAGAGCACAATCCACGATGAATATATCCCCGATTCTTGCGTACCATGATTCGAATGTCAGTTCTGCATCCGCGTCATATATGAATTCTGTAATCGCATTGGCTAGGTTGTCACTGGTTAGACTTGCATTTCTCGACTTACGCGATGAAGATTGCTCCATCTTTTTGATCAACAATTCGATGAGCTTGTTTTGTGTATGAATCATTTGCATAAACATTTCCATTTGGTCTGACATGATTTTGTTTTGACTTGAGCGCGTGGATTTTTTTCCCGTCGCAGTTGTTACGTTCCGGAATCGCCCAGAGCGAGACGAAGAACAACGACCGTCTGACCGTCAGATCCGTGTATGTTCGAATGAATGTATCAAGCACTAAACCATATGATAAGAGCGACAATCATCCAAGGTCAAGGTCAATGACACTGTCTGTTCACATGCTGACCCCTAACAGAGCCAGCGAAAGAATGTCATTCCTCTCAAAATGCTCCATCAGAGAATCAACCACCGATTCCATCACTTTTGACAGAACA